ACGACTGTGCCACTCAAATGCTTTTTCTAAGCACCCCAAAATCGCCACACATGTATCTTCGGTTTGTTTCCATTTCACTTAACGTAAAAAGCTGCGCTTTATATGAATGGGTTTCATTTCCATGTGCCCCTGACAGTACATCATACCTGCCATATATTCATAAAAGTGGTATTCCCACCTAGCAATTAGGTATGCACTAGACTGTTTGAAGGAATGAAGTGTATTCCTAATTACAAGAAAGCTCTCAGAGTTGATTCTTTGTATTGCTCAATTTTTTGCAGCCTTCACATTCGTTCTGTGAAATGTTTCCTTGCTGTCTTCCCAGGCGGTAAGGTTCCCATACATATACCTCTGGAGGTTATGCGTTTGCAGCTGATTACTACTGCTTAAGTTGCTCCATTTGCTTTCTATCATATCCCAACTTTTTGTATGGTCGCTTTAACTGTCCTAAAAATTAATTATTCAATTATATAATCAGTAAAGGATGCGAGACGATTGAAGATAGATGAAGGAAAATCAGTAGTCCTAACGTTGGGGGATCCGGATATTTATTTTACAAAAGATTTGGTGATCTTAACAATTCATCTAATCCTATCATCCATTTTTGGCTCCCATTCCAAAAAATAGATACGGGATCGCTTGCACTGCATGTCTTAAACATATTTATTGAAGTTCAACAGTACCCTTTCAGGTCTACTCTCTGAATAACAAAGAAAAGATTATGAATGCTTTTTTCCAAATCGCCTCAGATATTTTACATGTTTCGTTTTCAAGCAGGAAACGGTTCCTGTGTTTTTTCTCAAAGCGGAGGTGACCTGTGTTTAAATGAGATGTTTCTGTAAATGCAGAGCATACCAATACTACCCAATACAACCACCTACTCCGCTTGGCTTGCATCAGGCTGGGTAAAATTACGGTGTGCCATCTGATTCAATATAAGCAACGCATACGTATTGATTAGCCGTCAAATTTCACTGTAGATCAATCAGGACGATATACTTTCCAGTTGAAAGATGCTATTGAGCTCAGAGCCGTATAGTCACGCCGCTCATATGAGTGTTGGCATGCAATCAATGGGGGTGGTGGAATATATCTAACGTCATTTTTCAGTACCTGGTGCCATCATGCAAAAATGCCATCTTTGTTTGCTATGCATAGAAAGGTTTCACCTTTTAATCAAAACAGTAAGCATTCCCACAGTTATTCGTAGGACTGAAATGCTTAACAAACGGTCGTTACATCTATGAGAGATTTGCCTAAATTTTCGATGAAGTTATTGATTTTTTCAACCATCAGATTAATCTAACTGCTCGTTTATAGAAGCGTTGAGGTAGCGGTGAGGTCAACATGTGTAATCATGCACTCTGCACTCTGATTTCAGAAAAAAGGTTATCTCTCCAGGGAAATGCACTATCGTTGAGAACGAGAGCTGCGATTTAGCGGTCTTTTGCACAGGCACAAAACGTTCTCATTTGGGGACAGGGGTTTCACACACTTGAACTTGATTCACTCATTTTTCACAGGTTTCATTGCTTTCACTTTTTTAAGGACAATGAAAGATATTTCGAAAAACAATGAAGCCAACGCTAAAGTGTCCCGCATTCGATTGAAGAATTATCACTTGAAGTGAAATGTTTCTAGAAAATACACCATACCACTCAGACAGCAGCTGTGTATGTGCATCGAATTTTTCGATATTGTTGGTTATCAGGCTCTACTCCGTCTGTGTTGCGAAGCTTTTAAGAATAAATTGATTCTGACAGTGGCTGTTTGTAACAATTTTGCCGGAGTCGATAACACTGTGATGGTGAGCATAAGAGGTCACAATTCTGTTGAGTACTTTTCAAACATAACTGCCGTCTCGTGCACATGTCACAGCAAAGATCTGCGTGCTCTCAGTGGTTCCACGTTTGAGATAGTTTCGGCAGAACTATACTTGTACCTTTTTTTCTGGCGCGACCGAATCACATGATCAGCATTTCTAAATTTTTATTTCTCACTGTCACAAATATTCGTTTGGAAATTTTTCTCTCACTTTTTTCTACTGACAATAATTGTATGTTCAATCGATTCCCGTGATACCTCAATTTCCATTCATGAGAATGGTTCATGAACGTGAAGATTCCTGGTTGATGATCAAGACGAAATTTTCTCGGCAATCGTAGTTATTTGCACAGTAGAACTACAAATGTGTGCGCCTGTGGGTGACATGAACGTTTCTCGGTTACTTTGGTTAAATTTATCCGGGGTTCCATAGAAGTTCCACGATTATCATACCACGTCTGTTTTCAAGTGCATATCAGTTCTACTTGTTGAAAAAACCACCGCTCTCGGTGGTGGTTTTGTTTTGTGCGAATGCGCAATGAGTTTCATTATTGGTAGAAAGTACATACATATCAGTGACAACAGATCGGTGGCACACACATGACGTGGCCCAGATAATAAACTGTGTTATAAACCTTGATTCTTCAACAGTAGTGATCCATGGTTACAACCCAAATTGTATTTATTGAATAGTAATGTTTCCAAGATCAGGTTACGCAGTTTGACCTCGTTTCCTCAGAGCTACGATTTGGTGAAATGATGTATTGGTACCAAACCAGTAGTTAAATGTTTGTAATACAGCTTTGCGGAAACCTAGGTGTATCCGTAAAATTTAAACACTAACACACACAAACGATGCTGGTCAAGTGTCGTTTGCCTGTCGTCATATTTGAAACAAGTTTTCTCCTTTTAACAATTACGTAGTTCATCGCTACCGACAGCATAAACAGCTGAATTATTGAGTGTGTTCGACTTCCGAAATAACATCAAAGAAAACAATATACGCACAACTTCACAGAGGAAATTTTACTGACACCAAAAATGTTGCGTCAATTCTAATCACGTGAATGACCTATGCGGAATATAGATTTTTGGACTCAAAGATTGAGTTAACATCACCGGAATTTGGGAATATTGATTGTGATACATTTAAAAAGATTAGAAAAGTTTGGTTAAAATCACCAGTGATCAGTGGCTTGATATGATTTTCATAGGTTGGTAATTACCGGGACCATTATAACTGCTTACTACTTCCGCTGTAAATCAACGCTAGTAGCATGTATCTTGTACAGTATTCAAACCACACCTCCGTTTTCCTGTGGGCGAATTCCAGGATACGGAAGTAGGGATCATCTAAAGATAGCAACTGTCCAACGAATAACGCTCCAAGAACTAACAATGTCCAGAATCGGATAATACTTAATGAGAGAATAACAACGTGGTTGTTGTACTAAAATAGAATAATTCAAATAACAGTTTGTAGGCATTTCAGATAGACATATCTCTTGTTAAAAGCTCCAAGTGACTAAATGTGAAAAGACCTCAATATCCTCTTCCTTCATCTTTATCTTCATGTGAGGAAAGCAAAGGGGCCGCACCCCGTATGAGCCTCATCAACGCCGGTACCGATAGCAACTCGTTCAGTAGTCTACAAGTTGGCACCGTCTCACCAAGTGCTCATCGAGACGTCGTTTGAATCGTGCCTCTTTCTGCTCCTCCTTCAACGGGAGTGAATTCCAGAGAGAAGTCGCTCTCCGGGAAAGGTGATAAACCAAAGGAAACCCCGTCGACTCCAGCTAGCGAAAGGTGAGCCTGAGGCCATAATTCCGGTTGCAGTCTCGCATTGGAAACACGGCACGTAGTTCCGGTCCCAGATCGCCACGAAGAATCTTCCACAGATGGATCAAATCCTCTTGGAGTCTCCTGTAGCTAACTGGATAGAGTTCCAGTGCCTGGAGCCAACCTTCATAGCTGATCCCTAGAAGTTCCGCGACTAGTCGAGTGGCGTAGCGCCGTACTCGCTCCAAGTTGACCATTTTGGAAAGCGTGCAGGGGTATACAGCGAGTCCACCGTATTCAAACCGGGGGTGAACATAGAAGGCGAACAGCTTCTTGAAGGCCGTGAACGACAGGTCGTCAAACGACCGACGGATTGTACCTAGAATGCTCCTTGCCGCAGAACACGCTCGCACGGTGTTCATCTTGGTCTTCATGGATGAGGAGATGATGTCTCTCAAATCCCGCTCGGATACCATCGAACGCAGTTGAACGTTGTTCGTCAGATAAGGAATGTCCGGTGTCTCCCGTCCCGGACGCATATGAGCGCATTTCGACGAATTCACTGGAAGTTCCCCGAAATCAGCCTAGTGGAGTAACTTGTTCGATGTTCTTGGAAGGCAAGGCGGTCCTGCGGTGTTCTCATGATTCTTTACAGTTTCACACCATCCGCGTTAAGCAGGCAAGATGGGTTTGACCGGGAATGAAGGCCAATTACGAAGAGAAGGAACAACAGAGGTTCTAGGGCAGAACCCTGTGGCACTCCACTAATGACAGAATAGCGACGCCACTCAGTCTGGGCAATTCTCACAGTCTCACGTCCTCCTGACGAGGAAATCCTCGACTCAGGGTAGTAGTGGGTCTACAACACTGTGAGCCTTTGGTTTATCCAACAACCGTCAGTGTGACACTTTGTCAAACGCCTTGCCTAAGTCATTGAAGATGACGTCCTTTTCGTGGCCAGAGAACTTGGCAAACGCCCATTGCTCCCGAGCAAGTAGCAGTTCAAGACGCAAGACTGCTGCGGACGAAATCCAAGCTGCTCCGAGCATAGGAGATTGCTTGGAAAGAAGTGCTCTTGCAGTCGCTTGGCGAGTACCCGTTCCATTAACTTGACGGTCACACAGGTGAGAATGACCGGGCGATAGTTGGCAGGGGCCCCACGGGATCCCCGATTGAAGAGAGAGCGTATCATCGCGGCCTTCTATTCGGCGGGTAACCTCCCCTCGGCTAATGTTTGTTAAAAAAACTGCCAATTTAGGTGCAATGACCGGCACCAACTCCTTCAGCACGACGGGATTTAGTCCGTCAGAACCCGATGACTGGTATGGTTTCAAAGCTGAAAGTGCGTCACGTACCTTGTCCACCGAGATGGCTTTCCAAGACAGCAGAGGCACAAATCACGACAGTCGGGGGCTCGATGATGTATCGGTATCATAGACAGATGCACAGTGTCGCGCGAATGCTTCGGCCTTGTCAACATCTGTTTCTGTCAGAGCACCGTTAATCTCCAATTTTGGTATGTCAACCGTTGCACGTGTGCGGCGACGAAGATATGCGTAGAAAAGATTTGGCGTAGCGGCCACTTCAGATTCCAGGGATTTCTCGTAAACCAGCCGTTTTCTTGATTTCATTGCAGAACAAGCATTCTGCAGTGCTTTGGATCGGTCATAGTTAGACCCATGTGCGTTAAACGCTTTCCACACCCTGTTTCGACGCTTAAGCATGTGACGGAGCTCGTGGTCAGACCAGGGGGGGGGGTATTATAGCTCGTGACCAAAAGCGCTTAGGTGGAGTAAAGGTTGCCACCAATTCGAGAATGCCGTCCTGAAATTTAGTCCAGGTGAGGTCGACTCCCTCAGGTGGTCATCCAGGGGATGGACTGCGCTGCTATCCTCATTCCACCATAGTCCACTTTCCAGACATTGGGTTCGGAATGTGGTCGAGATCGGTGCGGAGCTCCACGGCACCAATGTACCAACAGGGTCGAATGATCGCTTGATCCGAGTGGTAGGAGGTGGTCGATTGCGTCAACGTCTGATGTTCGGGGGGATAACACCAGATCAAGGACCATCAGTGACGATCTTTACCATCATCATCATCGTCTTGGTCATCATCATTGTCATCATACCTTAGCCTTAGTTCATCGGGTTTTTTCCGTAATGAAAGTGTGTGGGTGGAATTGTTTTATAAAACGATATGATTTCAGCGATAAAGGTTATCGAATTCAGAGCCCATACTGAGAAAAGTGCATTTTTTAAAACATTCCCATTTATAAACTTGAATGCTTTTATGAAATTTCTTAGCCGTCATGAATTATATGGTATATTTCAACAGTCCTCATTATGTTATTTTATCGCAGTTGGTTTACTGGATAAATCTCCTCACTTTCTAGATATATGGTCTTACTGTTCGTTTTGAGTATTTGGTATTTGAACGCTGACACCACAGATATAAAATGTAATCTCCAAGCCTCGCACGACGAACGTAAGCAGTGGCGCAATCGCTTATCGTGCACGATCCATTGGTGTCAGAGGATCATGGTCCAATAGGACCTTTCCGGGAGAAAACACAAATACAAAGACGCGTACGGGTACAGGCATAGTAAAGAATGAAGATATTGCATGGGAATGGGGGTGCCTGACCGAGGCACACCTGACAATCATTACCCACGTGTTTCAACAAGAGTTTGAGAAGTCTATGCTGCATGGTGGTCATCCAGATAACGCTGGGAGGCTTGAGAAATGTACGTGCTCTTGGCGGCTCTAATGAAGTTAACGAGACAGCTTGAAGCGATGTTCGGACAACTTGAATCCATACCATCAACAAGGTACGAAACAACGTACTAGTATTTGAATTTACTCCATTTCTCATCCGCACCGAATAGTGCTCAGTGACGCATTGGTACAAATGCCTAATCGTGTTGAAAGTACTTTGCTTGACAGGGGCGATCAAATAAATAGATACACTAAGAGGCAGAATGATATGGTGTTCTTTCCTTCAACGGTACGGGTACCAATGAACTGGATGTGAATCAAATTTTTGAGCCAGATGTATCAAACGTTTTGCTAATGGTATGTTATAGCCTTTTATGCCCAATCTCTGGAAGACCGTTGATTCAAAATGACAAAATGTAAAGAGCCTTTAGACCAGTTTTGACTGTTTATGAGAACACCTTGTTCCTCTGCAGCAAATAATTCACTAAGCGCTTCGGGTATCCATCAACTACTGTGTCCTCCGTGCAATACGAGACTTTTCTTTACTTTGAATGGCACAAAATATTGAACCGACAATTCTGTCCATTCCGCATGGTGGCATATTTGTGTTCGCGTGATTACTGTCATCTGAATGCTTTTATGCATGTCCATGTTAATTTGAGTCCCCTGCACAATTAGCAAGCAAACAATACATTTAGAGTACAATGAAATTTTCGGAAGAGTAAACATCGACATGTCAGTACAGGATTGATCAACTGGAACCAATCGCGATCGATATTCAGATCACATTGTATGGATATCGATTTCGTAGTTGAAGAAAGTATGTGACTGTGACCTTGAACGATGAAAAGTGTATAACTCCCTAGTTAGAAAATCGTTCCTAACACGGCACCAGACTTGGTTTCATTATCATGCAGCAGTTCATCTGCACAATGAAATTATGTAAATTTGTTTATCGGCAAATCGCATGCGTATTATCGCTAGAAAACAAAGCACAAACAATTCTGTTTTACTCCTCTTACTTAAGCATCCTTTAAAGTGATCTTCATGTACACACCGAAAGAACTACGGTTAAATCCGTTTTAACTGGACACTAGTTACTGATAGGAGAAGATCGGGAAATTTTACCGAGGAAAATATGTAACTCCTGTCCCTTTTAGGATTGACTTCCAAATTTAGATTGACTAAGACCTAGAAAAAAGATCTAATAAGGCAGGTCTACTTGGTGAGACCAAAGTCACCATGGCAACTATGAGAAACAACAGACTGGTTTACATCCCGATTCCGGTCACGTGATATACTGTCTCATTAGTTAATATACTACAAATAAACGCCATGTGCGAACGAATAGGTACCAGAAGCGATCAGGCTCCTGTATTTTGTTTTTATGATTCAACCATGTCTTACGCATTAATTGATTGATTTTAAAAAGCCAATTTTCTAATATCTTCATCACTAATTCACACAAATACTCCTGTTCAAATTATTTTTATTTGGTCGTTAAGGTCTTTAATATGAAGTACACATTTTGTTTCTCAGTCTTCTTGTTCATTAGCGGTACTGCTCTTTTTAGTATTTATCATGTTTAGGCAGGTAATATTCGGACATCCTTTTTTCCCGCATGTTCTTGGCGTAGTGACTTTTGTCTAATTCCATTCTGCCGTCTTCGAAAAAAGTCATTTACAAGAACATACTTCTGAAACAACCGTTGTTAGTTATTTATTCTCAAGTTGCTTGCAGGTTGTATAAAAAGTATCCGAATGCAGAGCACACTGTTAGACATGAAGACCGGTAACCATCTTAGTCTTATCACCTCCAAGCTTTATTCTTTTCTTCGTAGAAAGAAATCTATCCATCAAATGTGTACTCACGTTTTTCAGGTCAGTAGTAGCTTTATACACCCGAATAGATGAATTTTCAGTATTTATTATTTATTTTGTGGATTCAAATTTACAAAATCATTTCATAATGAAACTGAAAGCAGTAGATTATGTTTGTCAATGAAGCAAGCATTTGCGCAATTCTGTGGAAATTTTCTCTTTGTCAATAATCAGACATGCTAGATATAGCAGAACAGAATTACGACAAGAATAGGTACGAGCAAATAAAAGTTTAAATCTTGAGCGTGTGGATGATGTAGATATAGCTTCTGAAAATTCGTTGTGTAATGGGTGATAAGTGTCTGAGAGTATTTTGGCAGTGAAACTTTCGCATGCTTGTAGGTGTCCGTCTATGGTTGAATCAACGAGTTTATCCCTGACAATGCCACTATGTTTAGAGATGTGTTTCAGAGATCTCACCAGTAAATAAAAGTCTTTCTTCAACATACCGGGAAAAGTCCTGGGGAGAAATACAACCATTGGGGTAGCACGCATGCATTCACAAACCTGACAATCAGCTTATGGGGAACAGAAAGTAATCTCAATCGGAGTGAGCAATATG